AGTCAACAGTGACTTTTGTTTTGTTTTATTTTTGAAGGTAAGGGCAGTGTGTTTGGAGGTGCTTTATTGTTTCTAGTGCCAGGACCATGTTGACTTTCTTCAGCCTGTGTCCTGTGCTCTTCCAGAGCTTTCTTTCTCTTCTGTAGGATCAGGTTGAGCACTTGCCCTTTAGTGGACTGCAGTTGAGTACTGAGCTCCTTGACTTTCTCCGACAGCTCTGTTTTCTCTTTCACCACTGGATCCAGAGCTGCTTGGGTGGTTATAATCTGTAGATCCAGAGTTGAGGTTGTCGGTTGGGGCTACTTCTCTCTCCTGTTCCTTCTCCATCCTCCTGGTAGACGTACCTTCACATTCAGATGCACTGACCACACACACACAGACCAGAGGCAAGTGACTGTGCTGTCTTTTATAGGTCTTTGTTCTCACCCTGGTCATTCAGTTTTCGGGTAAGAGCTGAAATTTCACTGCAGGTACTAGCAAGTTCCTAGTTCAAGTTTACAGTATCCCTCAGAGATGTATTGTAGAGATAATGGATATCCTTGTATGCAGTGACATGATGTTGAAGCTTCCTTCCTCTATCTTGGGGAGACCTTGTAACCTCTTTGAGCTTGGCCTGGTCATTCAGAGGTTTTTTTCAGCTCTGAATGTTCATGCTTGATGCTTGCTAGTTCCTGCTTCAGGTTAAGTTTCTCCTTGACATATGTGTTGAAGAGATAATGGATCTCCTTGTAAGCACTAAGCAGTGGTCTGATGTTGCAACTTGCCTTCTGTATTTTGAAAAGTCCTTTGAACCTCTTTGAGCTCAGTCTTTTTGGTTGGTTAGTCACTTCTGTGTTTTCAGTCTCAGTTCTTGGGCCTTATTTACCTAGACCTTCTCATCCAGTTGAGCTTTCATGGTTGCCAACTGTTTTCAGAGCTCCTGAAACTCTAGGATCTCCTCACGGAGGGAAAAGGGGTGTGATGACGAGAGCTGAAGACTTGTCCTGCATGCTCTCCTCAGGAGTTAGCTCTGGGGTGACCCCTGTTGGTATTGGGCCTCTGACCACAGCCTCCAGGTTGAAGGGCTCCTCATAGAGGAAAACATCATTCTCCAATGTGTATTCAAACCAGGGCTTCATTCTACTGAGTAAATGTGCCTGTCTCTATCAGTGTCTGGGTCAGTAGGAGCTTCAGGTTTGTCAATTTTTCTCAAGTTAAGACTGAATTCTCCATTACATAAACAATTTCCTTGTAGTGATTATGCAAATGGTGTCACAACATTTGGAATTTTAGCATGGTGAAACAGTTGTAAGCTAAATATATATTGGTTGTTAGAAGGGTTTTATCAAGACCACAACATATATTCTCCTTGTACTGTTTACCACTCCTTGCTAAAAATAAATCAGCTTAATAAATTTATTCAGTAAATTAAACAATCACTTTATTACTATTAATGTAAACAGTATTATCAAACCTAACGTGCAACTACTGGAACAAGATAGATAAGAACGCTCTAGAAGTGATGACAAAGTAAGAGAAATAGGATCTGACCTTGTGTTAGTGCACGGAGAACAGGCAGACACCATCCTCCCCTCTTTCCTGGCTCTCATGACCTCTTCACAATCACTGCACCCATCCACACTAAATTAGCTTTCCCTCATAAGGACAGCCAACCATTTATGGCCAATCCAGTCTTAGTTATAAGTGGCAAAAAAAGTTAAAGTAAAAAATGAAACTAATAATCCTACATGTTCTTCAAATGACAATAAATCCATACTGAAAAAATACTAAAAAATGTCTATTACATTGTACTATAATTTGGCAGTACAGGTTGACAGCTTCATCTCCAATGATATTACCGCACATCTCTTTTGCTGTACAGAGCAGTTGTAGAGGGGAGGATGGGTCAAGGATGGGAGCGCTCTGATTGGCTGGGGGGCCGTGGTGTGTGGGTTGGCCTCTGTAGCTGGTGCCCTAAGAGTGGCTGTGTTTGATAAGGGTGGTCCTTCACCTCCTCATACACCTCATTATCAGCCTCACTCCCTCTCCTCCTGTCGCACTATCTGCTTGAGAAACCAGATGGGAGCCCTGGCCATTTGTCAAAGTAAAACTGAAATCAAACTCAGTGCTATACGGTGAAATCAAGGAAATAAGCAAACATTTTGTTCTAATGACTTAGACCAAGTTTATTGATCCAAAAAGGGAAATTACTAGGACACAGTAGCACACCTATCACAATATTTTATAATGACAGCAAAAATATAAATGGTGATAATAAATTCAAAATAAGCAACAATAATAAGCAGCATTGAAATATAGTAATACAAATATTATCTCTCAGCTATAAGAGGTCGTAAGGAGAAAACAGTGCAAAGATGAAACTATGGGGTTCGGTCTAGCGGTAATGGAGGGAAACAGAGGCAGATTTTTTACATTCAAATGTCTCTTATTCAGAAACTAGAGGTACTATTGAAATAAGTAAGATATCAGAATGTAGGAAAGAGTTAGCACTCTAACAGGGTAAAGTTAACCCTGCGATATTCTTTCAAGTTGTTGACAAAAAATTAAAAAACTCATGTCAGTAACAGAGGGAATGAAATATGCAGCACTTTTTGGGCAATAAATATAAACAGCGATAACTACCGGTTCTCACTTACATATCCTTAACAAACTGGTTTGAATATTTGCTTCATATAGTTTTCTACCATATGGTACACGATTAGGTTGAAAAACCTCTACTTTTTGAGTAATGAGATTTTTTATTAAGAAAGGTCGGGAACGGTTAACAGAGGGAAAAGTAACGGAGGGAAAATTGTGCAAGCAAGTAGGAGGTACATGATTTTGCATAATTTGTCAGCTTTTTTCTTCCAACTACTTTAATAATAATAAATAATTAATACATTTTTATCATTTTAACTATATTTATTTTTGAAAAACCATGTACCTTCATCAACAGTTCAAAGATCGAATAACACAAGATATGATGAAATACATCAATTTATTTACATGATTTGCAGGTCTTTGAAATTTGGGAAATAATTTTTGTTCCATGTTGCATACATGGTCTGTTTAAAACGTATGGAACTTTAGAACCAAAAATGGTACAGAAAAAAAGTAAACAATTTCATAAACTAGAGTAAATATGCTATCTGTTGAATACATTTTTATATCAGATGCATTAACTTGAATTTTTGGCCTTGCTGTATAATTTTGCTTGACCGGGCCCTATGATTCAATGATTCTAATGACAGGAATTTGATTTTGGTTAAATGTACTGCTGAATTACTTAAATTACTAGCAGCTTCAATTGCTGTTATAAATAAGTTACTATGGACTGTAGTATTAGTAATAGAAGCAATATCAGCATTATTTGTCCTATAAGTATAAATTATACATTTGTAAAGCTACCGTGACCTATGTTGGTATTGTTCTTTCTGTAGAAAAAAGTTATCTGCACAATATTTCTCTAGTATATTTTTGGATCTACAAAGATCAGGTTATGCCACTGTCAGCACACTGGGGAATACTGAACTTGGATCAGATTGTATGACCTTCAAAAGCACCTCTAACCACAGGAACAAATCAATGTTTCATGTGACCAAATTGTATAGTGGACGAATCAGAATATATTACATTGATATGGCCATTAAAGGTGCACTATGCAACTTTTCTGGTGGAGGGTCCACTACCTGCTTGCCTCCATGGAGGTGTCATTGCTGGTCCTGGAATGTTCCATGGTATGACATTAAACATTTCCATCTAGCATTTATTCAGTACAGGTGCTTTTATTGCTCAAAAATACAATTACTCCTTCTGTGAATAGGAGAGACTCTCCGCGGATCTGAACTGTAATGCACCGTAGTGCTTAACCTGCTTGATAGGTAGGTGGCGGACCCTGCACTAGCAACGTTACACAGTGCACCTTTAAAACAAAATACTTTAAAAATAGGGCTGCTCAAATATAACATTTTTCTGACATGTTATGCAACTGATGTTTTCAAATTAGTTCAGAGCATATTTTAAACACATCTGGGAACATTAAAATTTGAGAAAAGACTGAAATCTTGACTATTAAAATAATACAAGAATCCTACGCATACCGGGTGTTGACGTCTAATCTATGACATAACCAGTTCTGTCCATAAAAAAGGGAATTTCGTTATTTAAAGAGGATACGAAGTCTATGCAATTTTATATTTATACCACTTCAAATTGTGGCTTCAATATGATTGCAATCTATTGTACAACAATGCTAACAGTCGTGTAACCACAATACTTTTACTTCTATTATTTCTTTATCAAACATTTCTTACAGCCATGCAAACTGAGACATCAGTCTTGCTTACTGCAGCCAGCCAAAGAGCTTTTCTCATCCTTTATTTACACTTTCCCCTATACAAAACATGCATCAATCTCCTCTGATTCATCACGATACTTGGACATTTAGAGTACTATTCAGAAACGGTCCACAATACACTTTTACAGCAAACAGTCATTAAGTATCAACAACGATTCACTTCAGGTATATATAATGTTAACGCTACAATTTTTTTTTAGATTTATTGATTTAAATATCAAAACACAAACCTCTGTAATGATGTTCAGCAAGGCTTTGGGAACAATAATATAAATGATGTACTATATGTAGCACACTTAAAAAAAAACTATATGGGGTGATGGTAGTGTACATAACTTAATATCAGGTCAATAAAATAATATAACAAACCACAAGTCTGTTAAAAAACTAGTTTGTTATCACAAAATGAGCTGCTTACCTGCCTCTCGTGCCCACACTCACACAGCTGACTGACCCTTGAAAAGCAGCACAAGCTTTCTTTGTGCCACATGTTATTTGCCCAATAAAGCCTAACAAAGGCATTCCACAGCTTGCAACTGTATTCATCTCTTTAGCATTCACACATTCACAACACACTCACACAACAAGCTCAGAAAATGACCAGAGCATTGCCTGGTCAGGACAACCACCCACAATGACAGTTATGACAGAAATGTAGGCCTACCTCAATTTCTCCACTGCACTGTCCGACCTGAAAAAAGAGACAGTGAGAAAAAACAGTTCAGTATCTACAAAAGAGATTAAGCAAAATGTCTTTTATAGTAACAATTTCTAAAGGTCTAATACTGTGTAACATTGACTCTTATAATCTTAAAGTCATATTACATATCTTGTTACATAGATCAGAAAATAACATAATATGGGCCTTTTATAGCCATAAATTGTTCCATGGGCAATGCATCTTGAAGGGCATTCCATTCTGCCATGGGTTTGCTCTCCTGTATGTGACTGTCAAATTTTCCCACCCAATACAAATAGGACAAATAGTCTTGCGGTTTGGCCAGTTAACAAGTTTGTAGCCTGAATAAATAACAAAATAATAAAATCACCATTAAGCATCTACATCTGAACTGGTAATATTTCATAATTCTTTTTCTTAAAACAACATAAATATATAAATATTGGGCAATTTAGGAAAATACATTTTTTTATTGTACTATTAATATTAAATAAACAAAAAGATGAAAGTTGTGAATACAAATACATATTACAGTCTGTATTGTTAACTGTATTATTAATACATTTATTATTATTATTATTATTATTTATCACTGACTTATGGCGTGACCTGGGGATTTCAGGTTTTACAGTTCAAATCTGACATGCTATATAGCAGGGGTCCCCAACCACTGGGCCTCTGGCCAACTGGTACAGGGCTCCCAAGAAAAAAAATATTATATATCTTTATGAAAAAAATAAACACATTTTGTCTACCATAATATTTATTCTGAAAGTATAGTGCAAATGAGCCTAAACAGCAAACATGATTATTGAGGCCCCCCCCCAAAGTATGGTTAAAAGCATTTTGTCCTGTTTTTACTGGCCCTGCCCCCTTCCACCAGTCCCTGAAAAAATCTAACATTTATTACCAGTCCTTACAAGAAAAAGGACCGCTGGTATATAGTGTCAGTGTCTTCACCATGAATGAAAATTAACCTATATCATCCTGCATAATGATGAAGGATATTACATTGTCAATCATGCGTACAAGCTGACTCATTTACGTTTGAAATTACATAACCCAAGTCTGCATAGTATATAGATATTCCAACTCCCCCAACACAAATCAATGTTGTATCAAAAAGCATTGTTCTTTCAGTATTATATGCATAGATCTGCAAATCTGACACAGTTTGACATGCAGTGTTCATCATATTGCTATGTCAGCAAGCTAATAGTTGATGTGCAAATGATGAGAGCGAACTTAGCCATGCCGACAGTAACAGTAAGGGAGCTGAAATACATTTGGAGACAGCATAAGGCAGTATGCAGCAGATTTTACCTGCAGAGGAGACATGACATGCCCTCTAAAGCCAGCTACACAACGCTCCTCTCCCCACAGCCTCTGCACATGCCCGAGTCTACAGCGCTATCGGGAGCACAGCGCACACAAGCACACACTAAAGTCCCATAGATGTAACAGCTCCAGATCCTTTGGCGAGAAAGCGGACGACACAACAGGAGGAAGTGCGCATTAGCCAGAGCCAAAAGACTGGGGCTGGAGGTGTAGCAGATAGAGGGGGGTGACTATAGTGATGTAAAAGAATATTAAAGGGTTAAGTCATGCACTTTTGGAGACCTGGTGGTGAAAGTCGAAAACTGAAAATGCCTATAATTAATTTATGGGTATAAAATATGTTTTTGATTTGAAGGGGGATCATTGTAACACAACCTAACGTTTCTTTTAGGATGTTATGTTCCACTATTTGTAATTAAACTTATCTCCATGAAGACACAACTAGGACAAGTTAGAAACCAGATCTGTGGGAAGGCAAGCCCGTTATAAGAATGTATGTTTATCAAGGAAATCATTAAGCAATAATAACAAAGCAAGCATGTTTATACTGTTTGATAAATTTGACACACAAAGCATTTAAGGGTGCATTCACAACACCACATTAAAACTGGGATAAAACTGGGACAAAACCTGGAATTAAATCTGGACTAGACCAGGGCTAAAACAGCTCTACATGTGGACTCAAACTGGGCTAAAACTAGGACAAAAAAGACAAGTATGAATGCACCTCCAGTTACACAATTAAATAATTCAAAATTTCCTTGTCAAACTTAGTAAATTCTAAACATACATGTTCCTAAAGCAAATCCAAACTCACAAGAAAATCTCCAAAAGTTATCCTTATGCCACTGTACTAACATCACATGTTGGGGACACATACAGTATGTCCAGATTTCCAGAATGGCTTATATATACAGGCCTGCCGCTGCTGCTCATGGTCACAGCAGCAAATAGACATGTTATAGACAAGGCTTATAAAAATAACCTAAATAAACTAAATGCCTGCAGAAAAGTGAAAAAATAAAATCACAATGTATTTTTATACACTGAATAGTTGGGCCAGATTATTATTATATCTTATAATAAAAAAAACATTTCACAATTGTGGTTTCAGATAAAAGGTGTTGAAACAATATAGACTAAAGTAGTTCATGACCTGCATTGCATAAATGATGTCTAGCAAGAGGAAAACACAGAAAAAAATAAACATGAACTGCCCTCTAGTGGACATTTAAAATAAGGGGTTTTCATATCTTCTGTTCTATTAAAAACGAAGGTAAACATTTCTTTGCAGTAAAATCTAAAGAGCTAAGCCATATAATAAGATCTGAGACAAAATTGAATCCTCAAATATTGCAACCACATAAAAAGCTCACCTTTCCTCCCTTATCAGTGGAGTGAGGAAGCGGCTGCTCTCATCCTCATGGCTGCTCTGTTGGCTGCTCTGCTGACTGCTCTGTTGACTGCTGGAAAAAACAAAAAAAAACAAAAAAAAAACAAAAAAAACACACACAACAGAAATAAATACAAACACAGTTACTGTCACAATTCAATTACATCTAATAAAGTTGTTATATTAATACCCTGTGTACACAATGTACATTGGAATACTTTCCAAGTACTGTGGTTATTTAGTCTATGAGCTTATAGCACTGAACTTGACTTAAAAGTACACATGCTTTTTATTCCTAGTTTACAGTTTCACATTATTAGATATAAAATAGTACTTATGCTGTAAAGCAATGCTTTGTACACTAGAGGGAGTAATATTGATAGCTGTGAACCATAGGATTGTTTCAGGTTACCAAACTGCACTAGCGAACATCATTAAAAGGTATTTGAACAAAACATGATGTCCAAAAACGAAAGAAGAAAAAAAAAAAGTTAAAATTCAAAAAGACAATTTGTATGTCTCTTTGTAAATGAAAACAGGCATAAATTGAAGTGATCACACTCAGTGTCTTTATATTTAATATTTACTGAGCTCCCCTTATCCTCTTCTGCATTTATCATTACTTCAGTCTTGAACTCAGCAGGGGTCCCTAATCTGATGAACACATGACTGTGAGGCCTTATGGGACATGGGGGTGTACTGTATACATACTGTATATTTGATGCATGTGGAATACAGACAGCCATGTCTCATTGATCTTATATTCAGTATATATACAGCTAATATAATTTTTCAATATGAAAATGTATTTTGAAACACACACATGCTCCATATATTCCGTGCTCATTCCTCTTGTATTAGCAAGTCCTCTGATCTAATAAATAATGTACTACTCATAGACAATTGAGGCAAAACACTCACTGAAAATGATACGTGCACGTAACAAAACACGCATATACAACACACAGCACAAACATGCAGCAGCAGCATACTGCTCTATTACAAAGTTGATGTGTGATATTTTAACTATGCAATAAAAGAGGCTGATGTCCTTGTTTGAAAGTGTTTACTGGTGTGAGGTGGTCATGTGAAATATTTAATGTTTGGATGAAATGAAAGCACTGAAGCCTGATGGAGGGTGGCATCACTCCCTTAACATAGCACACATGCTATTAGGCTCATAACAGGACATTTTCTATAATAGGAAACCAACAAAACATAAGACTAGCACCGACGAAAGAACAGGCTGGAGAGAAATAACATATGGAAATATACACTGACACAATGAAAATAAAATCACATCATCACCGCTAACACAAAATGAACACTCACATTTCAATCATCAAAGAAAAATATGTTAGAAGAATCTAAAATGTCCCATACTAAAAAAGCATAATGACTTACAACATTGTTTCCTTATAAGAATGCAGATAGCTTACTAGCCTTTCATGAACTGTACTTTTGCTCTCAGAGTTTTTCTGTTAATTATAAAATGGTAGTTTGTCATGCTTGTTCATCATTAACCTGGTATTTAGGAACTCTTTAAAGCAACAATAACACTATTAAGACATACAAATAAATATATATAAAAATGACATTTACATATTTCAGTACAGTTCACTCGTACATACTTAATCATAACAGTAAGTAGTTTGGTAAATTAGAGTAAAAGCACTAGCTATGCAACCATCTATTTTATGGGGTCTGACAGAAAACTTTGAGGTTGAAGTATAACTTGACTCTAGATTATTGTTTACATTTTCTGCTTACATTTACTCCTTTTCGTTCAGTTTATCAATCACTGAAGTGCAATCCCAAATCAAAGGAGTTTCTTTTAACAGTTATACATTAAGTTGTGTTGAGAAAGTTGGCTAATATTATTTCAAAGTGAGATTCCTTTTAGAATCCTAGTGGAGTTGTTCTCAGTAAATAACTTGAGCAAGAGCTTGTATCAATATAAAAGTCATTTCTGAGTTGAAAATGTAATTCATGTTTTCAATCTTGCATATTTCAGAAAATTACAAGTAAGAAGAACTTCCTCAAGGCATACAGATTCTTGCAGAAGCAGGTAGCAGGATGTAGAAGTGAAAATGCGAGAAGACCTGACAGCCAAATAACTAAATAAAAAATATAGATATTAGAATATCAATGATGCATAAGGTGTGTGTGTAGAGAACTGTCTCTATCATCTTGTAAAGAAACACATTATTTAAAAAAACTGCTCTTTTAGTTATAAAATATACAAACTAAATACTATGATGACTTGGCAGGTGACATTATTTCACCCATGAGCCAGGTCAACAATAGTCAATATTAATCTATAAAATAACCTCTGCTGTATTAAAGGTCCTATTAACATACCTGGAGTTGTGTTTTGTTTCATTCACACATCTTTAAGTAACCATTAATTATTATCCTGTTAACATCTTCAAAGCTCAAAATGCTTAATTCCACCTTGTGATGTCATGTAGAGTTGCTCAGTAGGGATTGGTAATTCCAGGTCTAAAAACCCAAATAATTTTAGTGAAGGTATATGGCGAAAACACAGTGGAACATTGTATTACAACATAACATCACAAGGTGAAGCAAAGTGTTTTCTGTTTAAGAAAAGAACTCAGCGTAAATATGCAGGGTTTGTGTGTTAAATATGTGTGTGAATGAAACCTTGGACCCTTTAAGTAAACAACATATATATTTTCTTCACAAGTTTGTAGAAATCTTCTATATGAACCACAATACTACACTTATTTGAGCAGCCTATGTGCCTTATCTCTATGAGTGACACTACTGGCTTTGAGCACCTACAGCAGTATTGACCCTGTGACCTTTCAGCAGCACACATTGGATCTCTCATATCACTATCTCGCTCCTGTGTGCACTAAAGGAAACGTATTGATTCTGAGCACCAAATGACCTTTCCTTTGCCAATATACGATCAGATGACCTACACAGCATTCTCCTGACCTACATACTAAGAAAGTACCAGTAGCTCCTAGAATAATAAAATCCTACCACTTATGTCAAACGTATTATGCAAGAGATTTTATGCAAGGTATTGTAAAAGGTTGTTTATTTTACCACTACAAGGTTCAAGGTATCTACATGATGTATCAAAGCATGTCACTGACAATGATATGTTGTGAAGTAAGGTTGAAGCAGGGCAGTGCAATTAACTTGTTTAATAGGGATTTAAAAAGCTTGTGGTCTCTCTCTTTAGACTAAATAAATACAAAGGAATGATAGGTGATTTTTGTTTGGTTATACTTTCAATGAATAGGAGACCTGTATAGGGCCACACAGTACCATATTTAGTTCTCTTTATGTTAATGCTAGTCCCTAACCAGTGCTGTGTCAGGAGGTAATTTGTTGACAATCTATAGCCATGTATTTGGTAACATTCTCAGCTTCTCAACAAAGGCTTAAGATATTTGCTCAGTAGGTGAAATACACTGTCTACAAAATAATAGCCAGATGGAGCTGACCTTAAGAAAAAGGTTAGTTCAGCTGACTAGAAGCAGCATGGAGGTAATAGGAAAAACAAAGGGGACTGAAATGAAAGGGACAGTGCTTATACCAACCTGCTTTCACTTCCTTGCTCCTTCCTCTCTCTGACCTTCAGCCACTTTCTCAACAGGAACCTCTTCCGTCTTGGAGAGGCGCTGGGTGTGGAGCAGCTCGACCAGGACGAAGGAGCATCCTCATCACTGGACGGGGTAATCTCTATGGAAGGTAACTGCAGGTACTCTTTGGACCCCGAATGGGACCGGGCTGTAAGGTGATTTTTGGCCAAGCGCGCCCTCTCTGCGTCCCTTTCGCTGGGCACGTTCCGCATCCGCCGCATTTTGAAACGTTTACGGCGAAGAGTCGGCGTGGAAGAAGTGGAGCGGACGCAGCCATCGGACACAGCGGTGCTAGCTCCGTCAGAATAGACCGGGGCATCAGACGGTACGCTCACCTGCAGCAGAGGAGGCTTCGGAGTGTCATTCATGGTTACCCCTGGGTTCAACCTCCAACCGCCCTCTGTAACAACACCTGGACTGAGGCAGTTTGAGGCAGGGTTGCTCATAAACACTCAAAAGAAGCACAGGTATTGGGTTAGCTCCAACTGAAAGAAAGGTCCAAGCAAAAAATAGTAAACCTGGTAGTCCTAGATGAGTATTTCTCCTAGTAGAAGTTATGTCCATTAGCGTTGCCAGCGGACAGACTGTTAAAAATGTTCGTAGAAAACCACTGGTTGTGATAACAAGGGGTCTTCTGTTCTGAGAGAGGAGTAGATGAAACATGCATAAGGGCTTGAAATCCAACTCCTGGCTGGTCCTCCCCAATGACTGCCCAGACAAAGTTACACCCGCTCACACACTGGCCTTCCTAACTGTCCAAGCTGTTACCTTAGCCGCTAATGCTAACACCACAAAGAAACGACTCCAACCACGAAGATGTTAAATATTGATACGGATGTTGCGTTGACAGTCGGACGGTTGTAGTTGTCGCTTTTGGAGGAGGAGAAGTTGGTTGGTAGGTCGATGTGGTGATCCGGTCCAGCTGAAGTTACTGCCTAAAGGTTAAAAGGGAGGCAACAGATTTTGCAAGGTTCAGGAAAGGTTGATGAAGTTATTACACAGACAACAAATACATAAAATGAAGTAAAGGAAAGAAGGAGGAAGCATGCACACAGACACGCACGCATACCACTGACAGCTGATAAAACTAATCAAAGGAAACAAGCGATACTGATGAGACACAGAAACAGAAGCAGAATCTCACTCTCACATGTTCTGTCTATTTCACCACCGCTCATCAGCTGCTCTTTGCTCATTAATACAAATACTTTGGTCTCAAGGTCAGTGTCCATATTGAAACTTTGTTATCACAACAGACTACGGCAAGCAAGATTAATCACAATCACACTTGCAATTTGAATGGACACAAGAACAATCATAAAACTGCTAACCGCAAGGTGCTCAAATAATGTCCAGAGAGATCGCAATATTACTCAAACATAAATGGTTGACATATAAAACAATCAGCCATGTTCTGCTGAGGGAACAAAATTATAACATGGTAGAAAGCTTGACAAAGCTGACTTTGCAAATCCTTGCAAACAACAACATATTCTGCATTAAAGACTGCTAACCCTGTAGTAATCTGTAAAACATGCTCTCAGACATGATTTTTGAATTGTTTTGTCAGTTCATATTTCAAAATGTGAACTCTGAACACAATACTATTATTAAAACTTAACTCACAAATGTAATTGCAATCATGATGCTTGTCTGAAAAATTACAATTAGACATTTTTAAATCATTCAGCCCTACAACTGACTCTGACTTCTGAAAGTTGTGAAAAGCATTCATAAACTCTTTGTGGTAAATAATAAACACTGGCAATGTGTTGGGAAAGTGAGGAGTACAATCAAATGACCTTTATAACAGTACAAATCAGGTAGGCCTTCAGTGTTTTGAAGTCACAAAAGTTACAAAAACATGATGTTCTAAACTAAACTGGAAATGAGCAAACTTCAAAGTCTACAAAACAAGTTTTGAAATAGTTGTGATTTTTGTAGTAGATTCTTGTATTGCATTAGACTATTTGCATACTCTCCCAGACGTGTTTAAAATGTGAATTTTGAACAGAGTCACTATAATATAAAATGCTTGGCAAAAAAAATCACAATTAGATTTTTTTTTTTTTTTGCGTGTAGTTCAGTTATAGTCGAGATGTCAGCATTTATTTGCAAATAAGGCAATTACGAGGCAAAAACAATAGCAATTGCCACTGAAAAGAACACATGGCTACATGAGTTTTGTATTGAAACAGAGCTAATCTACTGGACAGCAGCCATATACAAGAGAAGAGCTGTTTTAACGAGACACTATGAAAAGGGGTCTGATCTTGAAGATGATCCAGGTACTTAATAAAATGGGATTGGGCACTCAAGTGCAACATAGAGGGCAAATAATCCTGGCAGGAGGTTAACAAGCCATAACAACTCATCTTAAATAAAAAAAGGCCTTCATCTTAGGTAAACTAAACAGCAGAAATAGTGTTTGAAGGAATTTGCTTTCACTTTTGGAACAATACTGAAACAACATCTTGAATGTTTGACTCCTGTACTCTACCTATGGCTATTGGCTACTGTAATCTAAAGAGATCTATTCAAACATTCAGCCCATTCAGTACTTTGTTCAATTATGAGTAGAAGTACAAGTATGCCAAGCTTTAAATTAAATTCAAATTAAGTAACTCCCAATACAAATTGACATTAAGCCTTTAGTAACATTATTTCTTTTTTTAATTTTAAATTCAGTCTATTTTACCCCTAGAGAAGTCAACAAGTCAATTTTACAAAGTTTAATTTAACAATGCAGAGAAATGTCACCTTTTTAATGGAAAAACACTCCCACTGGTACCATAAATGCAATCATTAACTACACACAAAAACGTGTCATTAATGTCATTTCACTTAGCCTTTTTCATAATAAGATAACATGGGCAATGCTTTAAGCAATAAGTATAGATCAGGGTATGTTATTCATCTAAACATTAATAATGTACACTGCAGCAAACATGCAGGGTCACTGTACACGAGTGAACACAGGCTCACACTTGGACCTGCAGGCTGCGTGTTAAAGCAGAGAAAAATCATGCATTAATTAAGTCCAGACACTGTTTCTGGTTATAGTTTACACGTTTGTCTTGCCTTCGGTCACAACTAGGCACAAATCAGGTAAATGGGGGAAGCATGGCTGAGCATACATACTGACATAATAAAACATTGTAATTGTCTCATGCTCATGAATAATACAATAGGTGAAATACTCAACAGTGCAGCTGAGGGGTGTGATGATGCACCTGTGCTGTGTAGGGGCAGAATGCAAAATATAAAAGTCAGCAGGAGGGGCCCAATGGTCAGGCCATCTTGTGCCTTTTGCTCTTTGCCATAGTATAAGTGAAGTCAACAGATGGACCAACCACAGTGGAGCTTTGCTGATACAGCTGACACAGAGAGTGGGAGAGAAAGCAGTTTTGCTATCATAAAACGGCATAGCTAAAATATGTCTCATTCCTTTAAATTAAGGACATTATCAGCATAGAAAGTGCATTATATTCATAACCAGTGATGGGACAAATACTTTGAAAATGTATTTTATTACAGAATATTGAATACCTGCATTAAAATGTATTTTGTATTCTGTTACATGGTCCAATCAGAGTTTTGTATTCTCCACCACCTGCTTGTTAGTACTGTTCCATAGTATGGCATTAAACATACTTTTCTGCATGAAGACTAGGGGGAGCCAACAAATCAACAATTTGTTTTTTGTAACTTCTACCTCTACCAAAAGAGACAGGCAGCGGCACATAACTCCCACGTGATTACACAGTGTCATTAGTGACCATCAAAGTTCAACCCAATTGTTTAGTGCCTCTCTATTCTTAGCACTGTGTCCCTGCCGGTGCAATGGCAGAGACTGGTGGAGATTACAGAGGCATGCAAATGGTGATTAAACAAACACTCATGAAAAAACATGTGGCATCAAGTGCTCTGATTAGGCAAATGGATTCTTCACAAGAGCACGAAATATACAGCAGATTAACTTGTCCTCAATATTTTGAGTTAGTCAATATGTTTTTATATTAGCAAGATTTGGGTTTGTTTTTAATCAATATAGATTCTATGTAAGTCATGTATACTATTTTCCCCTGCACATTTTGTTATGTAAAATTAGGCTTGTTTTGATAACATATTTTGAAGTACAATATATTGCTTAAGAAAGTATAGATGATAAATTATGTAGTCAAACTACAATATGCCACGGACACAGTACTTCATAAAGCAGAATTATTCTCAAAAACAATTCCAAATGCACAATATGGTTGAAAAACAACAACAACAACAACAACAACACAGAAACTACACTAAATAAATGTCAGAATGAAACACTTTAATAGTTAGTTTGTGTCTATAATGAGTCATAGAAGTTATTTATTCAACCCTCTGCAGGTCAAATCTAATCATAGAACAGAAACATGTTCCTAACTGTACAATTTAAATTTTATTACAACATAGAATACAGAGTATAGACTCAATAGCATGCCATTACAGAGACAGGTTTAATTACAGCATTCTGCAAGCTGTGCTACTGATTACCTTCTCCAACAAGGGCAGGTTTACCAGGTGTTATTTTAAGCATACATCCACTACAGTTCAACCAACAGACACTTCACTCCTCAATAAAGATTTAACTAAGTCTTTACATAACACTGATGCACTCTGAAGTGTCCTTACTGAAGCCAATATCAAGTCCTCATCATTGAACAATTACTCAGTCAGGCAGAACAGGGGGTAAAGTCATTGGGCCAGCCCTGTGTGCAACAAAACAAACTGTGAAGCTACAGATGAGGCTTTAAACTGCACATGTGACAACGTGGTTTACCTTTGCCCTCCTGTATCGACCGTATAAAACCATCACTGTGGAGATGTATATATATATATATATATATATATATATATATATATATATATATATATATATATATATATATATATATATATATATATATATATATATATATATATATCCACAGTCATGGTTTGCTCAATCTCCAATTATACCAATACCAATTAGTTTTTTCTTCTACATTTTTCTTTGCTGTAACCGAAGTGGAGAACAGCTTTTCACTTCCCAATATTCATTGTGCAGATACCATTTTAAAAAAGTAGGAACACTCTGCACCCCTAATGTCTCTAAAATACTCATCTCTTTTCTTTGACAGTCATTCAATAGCCATGAATGTAATTATACATTTTCAAATGCCCTTGTAATGAATGTAATGAGGGGCAAAATATTACTAAGCTTCCAGCTACAGAATTGTCCTCAAGGCTGTCCCCAGGGTTCCTATAGACTTCAATGTAGCTTCTTACACTGTCATAACGTTATTCTTGTTATCCCCCCTCACAGCTTAAACTACATCCCGGAGCATTGTGTCTCTTTCTCTTAGGTCCATGTCTGCAGAGATTTGCTGTGGTGATCAAAACCCTGCTTTCATCTCTTATTTAGATACCCTGTCTGCTAAAAATAGGCTCATTACGACACTATGGAAACTAGGAACATCGGAGAAAAGACACATTGTACTAATATTTGAAGCAGTTGCATTTACAGATGTTACCTCAAACTGAGAAAAGGCATTTAAACATTACTAATTCATCTACTATCTATGAATAAATGAAATGTGGTCTGATACAGTGATTCATGAGATGTCAGAATTTCAAAAATATGACATTAGACATGCAAAAACAATTTCCAATACATGTCAAAGCTGTGACAATTTGTAGTACTAAAAAACTATTTGCAGTCTATAATTTATAAGAGTAAGATAATAAGGCTTCTGAAATTTGATTATAAAAAGTTTAATCTCTCAAACTTTTTTTTATCTTCCCTTTTCTTTTCAGTCATCAAGAATGTCTGAAACTATATAATTTCTACTTAACACATATCACAACTTTAAAATTTTAAACTGGAAACTTCACCTTGTTTATTGCAGAGAGATGT